CCCTCTCTCACCCGGGCGACTATCACATAATCCCCATATCCCGCATCCACAATTTCCAACTGTTGTCACTACCCCCACACTCCGCGTCATCAAGCCCCACCGAACAAACCCCATCCTTCGCCAATGCGTACCCGTCCATCTACCCTCTCGACATTCGCGCGCTGAAAAATCGCGAAGCCGCTGCAGTTTCCAAACTCCACGAGCGCGAACAGCGGCGTGGAAAGGGGGTTAGCAAGGAAGCACAGGACCTGTTTGATGCATTTAGCAGGACCATGCCAGCGCGCTGGGATGGCACGAGCATTGTCGTAGCCGATACTGTAATCATTTCGAAGCCGTACCATATCGATAATTGCCGCTCTCTATCGCCTGATAACGGAGGGGTGAGCCCAGCATTGACGAGAGTTAGGAAAGTTGTAAGTGGCATATTATTACGCCTTTTTTTCCTTAGCTTGGTCAAACTAATGTTTCGTTGTTTTTTTCCCCCTTAGCTGGAAATGGAACGCAAGAAGATCGAACTCCGCAGCGCCAGTGCCGCAATTGCCAACTCCAGCCATTTCTCTTCCCATCAAACTCGCAATAGTAACCACGGCAATAACAACCACCACACGAATGCGAATGCGAATGCGAATGTGAATACCTCCTCCCCGTCCACATCCAGGGATCGCGATCGAAACGCAAAAGCGGCTGCCGTAGCGCTTCCCATCACTAATAATAATAACGCAAGCAATAATGCAGCGCGTTCTTCGACACCCGGAACATCTGCTACTGCTGCTACCGCCAACCAGAGGAAAGGCGGTTAGGACAAAAACACACTGTATTATGTCTCGATAGTGAAACGGTGAGATAAAAATACGGAGAAAGGAAGGCGGGGAGAGACAACGGCGTTTCTTCTTCCTTTTTTTTATTTATTTAATATGAAGTGAAGGGGAAAGGGAATCAGGGCCATTATACTATACCTACTTAGTCTCTCTCTTTTTTCTTTTCCAATCCTACCATATCACAGTTATATTTTATTTATCCTTTCTGTCTATTCCTAGTATTGTATGATGACGGAACTTGTTGGTGGCGAGATGGGCATGAGACAGGCATGGACATGGAGCAATGGAGTAATGGGCCACGGGCACGAGGGCGTCGGCGTTGGGGTGATCACTCATATACACACACACACACACACATACATGGAGAGAGAGAGAGAGAGGAAAAGCGGGGGCTTTAAGAGAGGAGAGGAGAGTAGAGAGACAAAAAAAAGCAAGAAATAATTCTGAAAGTTTCCACTCTCCTTTAAGGGGTAGACAGTAATCAAGACGGGTCCGTTGCTTTCCTTTTTTTTTTTTTTTTCTAAACAGCAAAATTCCTTCGTTTATCATATTAAAAAGAGGAAGGAAAAGAGAAGAAATTATGTTTACTACTAACTGTGCCAAGCACTATTTACTCACGACCACAGCATAGTTAATGAAAAACCACACTGTAGTTACGGAAAATATTACGAATATCATCAATCTACATTCTTTAATATCCATTAATCATCACCACCACCATGTCTAGTTAAATCTTTCAAATTACACCAAAAAGCAAATTGCAAAATGTTCATTGATGTATTTGGAAAGAATTCAAAATTAAAAATCATATTTCTATTGCAAGAATTCAAAGTTCAGGCATCATTAAATTGATTCAAAGGGTAGGTTGGCCAGCTCAGGCACACAACACTCTATATAGCAGGAGCTTCATGAAACGTACAGCTGGGCAGGACGGAGCAAAAAGTACGAAGTTATATTAGTTATCGTATCGTCAGTAGATATCATCAGGAGATATCATTGCTAGATATTATGGTAGATATCATCATCAATATATATATCGTAGTAGATATCATCGCTAGATATCATTGATGGATATCACACATTCAAACAGGTCAGTAGATAGATAGGCAGGCAGGTAGTCATGTAGCCAGCTAGTAAGCTAGCATTGATAGATAGATAGATGGGTAGGTAGTTAGATGATGGTATTTATTCTCGTAGAGAATGATTGGATGTTGAGCAGAAAGGTTGGTTGATAGATAGGGATGTAGATAGGTAGCAAGCTATCTAGGAGGGATTCTATATTTCATTGGCAATTGACCGGATATCACGCAGATAGGTAGGCAGATATCTAGAATTCTCTATTCTATTAGCAATCGATCGGATATCGAGCAGGTAGGTATGTAGATAATTCACAGAGGTAAGAATAGGACTCTATGAGCCAATTGCGGGCTAGTGTTGGAAGATCAGTAGATCAGTTCTCCACTGCACGCGATCTAAGAAACCCTAATTTTGAATGAAAATTCCCCCTGTAAAAAAAAAAAAAAAAAAAAAAAAAAAAAAAATTAATTAAACTTTGCTTCGCTCCGTTTAATAATAATGAGATATATACATCTCTTCTATTCTTGCTTTGTATCATATAATTGTCAATCTTCATTCCTGTAAACTATTGTTGAGTAGAAACATGGAGTATGCATAAACGGGCTGACACTCTCTTTGTGCGCTGAGACTGTATATTTGATGTTTTGTGAGGCCTGCGAGTTGTTTTCGGCACATTGATATATTCTTGACTAGTGTGTTGAGGGTTGCCCGAATGAATTGGGTTCCCGGGTTCACCTAATTCAACCCGCAAACCCGACCCGTGTTTTTGGAGGCGCTTATGGGCGTATATAACGGGTGTCGCGCCTAACCCACTTAACTAGGTTTAGTGAAGCCTGGGCGTGGGTCCCCTAAGCGCGGACAAGCGCGGACATGTTTTTTTCACGGGTCGGGTCGGGTCGGGTCGGGTTCCAGGGTGACACATCCATGGATGCCCGGGCTTTTTCATGGGTCGGGTTCACAACCTTATTGTTTGAGGATAAGATTCTATTCTATTACTGTTCAGTTGTATCTTTTTCTTCTATTCTATGTCTCTATTATATGTATCCGACTTTCCAATTCTGTAAACTATTGCCAAATAAGAAATTGAAGAAACTAAGCCCACTTTTCATTCAAGAGATGTACATTTCTATACCGAGGCTGTATATTTGATGTTTCTTGAGGTTCAGAGGCTGGGATTCCGACACATTGACACATTTATGATGGTCATTGATGATGATCTGAGTATATTCATTCCTTCTAATATGTGTCTCCATCATATATCAATCTCAAATACCGTAAACTATTGTTGGGCAGGAAAGCGAAGGGATCAAGTCCACATTCCATTCAAGAGGCATTCTGGGGCTGTATGTTTGATGTTTCCTAAGGTTCCAAGATTGTTTCCCACTGCTTCAGCATATCATTGATGGTGGATAATCGCGTTGTTGAGTTCCTTCTGGCACTCAAGAGACAGACAGCCATACTGTTTCTCTGAGAGTTCCCAGCGGACACCACATGGCGGTGGGAGCTCGTTATCCGCCACGGAAGTAGTCCTAGCACGGAAGTTGTTTGTCCTGAGAATTATCCTAAAGACCCAGAACGATATCTTTGCGCTGGGTACTTGCATGCTTTTAAGTTTTGTGAGAATAAACAGAATCGCGCTAATCAATTCAGGTATTAGTCTATAATTTATTTTATTTTTTATTTTGAATTTTTCTCTTCTTGATTTTAGTATTCTCTTTTCGCATACATGGTTGGATCGTGTGGCCGATTGCGAATCAGAGAGCACCGCGACAAAGCGACGACACACATCTGACAGAAGTTACACTTTAAAAAGCGACTTTTGGCTCAATGCACAACACTCGCTCGTAGCTCTAAAATGAGACTCTCCGTAACCAAGTAAACAAGTCCCAGATTCTTCATCTACAGTGAAATCGAATGCTACACGCGCACTGCACTTGGGGAATTGGTGCATGCATAGAATTTCTTTGAGTGATCTAGTTCTCTGTTTACCTTATCCCACGAATATCAGATCACCATGGAGGTTCTCTTCTTTCCACCGTTTCGTCGAAGCCCACCCACCACCTGTTTTCTCTTGAGCGCTGAAAGGTGGGAGGATCGCATGCTCTCTGTATAGTATTTATCTCCCTTTGTGATGAGCAACTGTGCCAACCTAGCCCAGAGGATCCACTTGGCCGCAGCGCCACAAGTTGATCATCTGTGTGTTCGTCTTGGCTGGGGGATATATCCCGGCGTGAGGTTGCGAGAGGTCAAAAAGCTGCTTCTGGGTTGGTAGACGGCTTGGCCACGCTAACAGCAGCCGCTATCTCACAATGAGGGGTTCTTCGGCCTGGTTAGATCACCAGCTTTCGAGTCTAAATTTAGCTGCTTATCCCCTGCTTTTCAACGATGGTTCATCTCGGCTGACATCCAATTTAACTAGCAAGGTTGCCAGCCCATCGTGCACAAGATCCCCTTGTATTATTTAATTTTGTTTTTTGAGCTGCTTATAAAACTACTCTTTCTACCTTGCAGTTCGTAGGAAGCTCGGGACCAGAACCTATCACTCACAGTACTACTCCGTAGACACTCTTGCTTACTATATTTAGCTTTAGTTAGAAGAAGGCTCCCCCTGTATTCCACCAGATAATCTTCATTTTACTTGTAGGCTTGTTGATATTAGATACTAATTTGTTAGGCCACTGGGGCAAAAGAGCTCTCTCACACCAGCCCCATGCTGGTAGTAGAGGGGACGAACCAATCCACACCCCCCAACAATAATTTAACATATTTATCCTTACTATATTGTCAGATATATTTTTATAAGGTTATGACGATTCAAAATTAGCCAATCCTCATCTCAATTGAGACGCCTATCCACTTGGCTCTAATATTTATTCAGAGGAATATCCGATTTGAACAGATGTGTTCTGAAAGATCAAATCAGTTTCAAGCTTATTATCACTTTAAACCGCTGCTTGAATTATCTTTTATTATTATAAGTTACTTACTATCAAACAACGCAACTCCTGCCTGAGCATCACAGTCTTTCGTCTCATTTTTCCTTTGTTTTTCCTTTTTTTTTTTTTTTTTTTTTTTTTTTTTTTTTTTGATCGTATTTCGAGAATCATGGGGCACTTTTTCGTCTACATTGGCGCGTTGCTGTTCGGTGCTGTTGGTGCAATCAACCACGGACCCCCCGACTTTGGCTCTGGATATCGTCAGGGGGTAGATTTCCTTCCTGGCAGAGACACAACTACCGCTTGGAGAACAGTTACGGAAACTGTTACTGTACCTGCCGCTGCTACTGAATGCGCTTGCTCCTCTCCGCAGGACCCTAGTCAAAGCCCCAGCTCGTCTGCCACGGAACCGCCCAGCCCAGGCCCAACAGGCAACATGCCGCATGTTGCTGGTTTTAAATCTGTTGTATACTTTGTCAATTGGGTATGTGATTTGGGATTGCCTGTAATTTTCCTTTACTTTTTTTGGCTTTTAACTAACTAACTGCATGGTATAGGCCATCTATGGGCGTAATTACCAACCCCAAGATCTCCCAGCAGCAAAGCTGACTCACGTTCTCTACGCATTTGCCAATGTTCACGGCGACACCGGAGAAGTGTATGTTTTCTCTATCATGGTTACTCATTTATCTTTTTTGTTCTATTGCTTAAAGTTATATCTTTACCTGACATTGGATCACCCTTTTCCTCTAGCTACCTGACCGATAACTATGCTGATACCGACAAGCACTACCCAACTGATCCCTGGGAGGAAGTGGGAAACAACGTCTATGGCTGTGTCAAGCAACTTTTCTTGCTCAAAAAGCAGAATCGAAATCTGAAGATCCTACTTTCCATTGGTGGATGGACCTATTCTTCCAATTTCCCAGGGGCCGCGAGTACAGCAGCTAACAGGGCCCACTTTGCTGACACTGCCACGAAGTTGATGCTTGATATGGGATTTGATGGTAGGTGCCACCGTTATGTCCACCACCGTTATGTACAGAAACGAAGGGGAACATATATCAAGGGGAACTCATGTGCCGGGGCTAACCTGTCTTCTTGCGGTCGACAGGACTTGACATTGATTGGGAATATCCCAATGGTATGTAGTACCCACTTTCCATTTCTCAGAATTGGATATCGTTTACTAATCACCAATTATTAGATGACGAGGAAGCGAAAAACTTCGTAGAGCTTCTTAAAGTTACAAGAGAGGTATGGTACTTCATATCTCTATGGCATCAGCTATTCTAATGCCATGCTAAACAATGTGTTTCTTTTTCTAGAAACTTGATGCATTATCAAAGAATCGCAAGTTCTATCTGACCGTCGCTTGCCCAGCGGGTATGTACTATTGACACAGTTGCTATATAATCTCCCCATACATTACTAATGTTCGGTACTCGATTAGGTCCGAAACATTTCAAGAAGCTCCGCCTCGAAGAAATGACCCCTTATCTGGATTTCTACAATTTAATGGCATACGACTATGCTGGAAGTTGGGACACAGTCGCTGGACATCAAGCAAACCTCGAGGTTTCCAAATCCGATCCAAAATCCACCCCCTATTCCACCGAGGCAGCCTTAGACTTTTACATTGGAGTTGGTAAAGTGCCAGCCTCCAAAATGATCTTGGGAATGCCACTATACGGACGCGAGTTCGCTGACACTGATGGCCCTGGTACTCCCTTCACTGGAACTGGTGGTAACGGCAGCTTTGAGCCGGGTATTTGGGACTACAAAGTACTCCCGAAGGAGGGAGCAAAGGAGCACATGGAATCAGGTAGCAAAGGCGGTTGTGGTGCATCATGGAGCTATGATAAATCGTCTCGCTCGATGATCTCATACGATACCGTGCCGATGGTGGAGAAGAAGACGAAATATATCATTAATAAGGGGCTTGGTGGCGGCATGTGGTGGGAGGCAAGCGGTGATCGTGACCCCAGGACCGCAGAGAAGGCCAAAGGAAGCCTTATTGGCACCTTCGTTGAAGGGATTGGTGGGGGGTTGGAGAAACATGAAAATGCTCTGTCCTTCCCGGAGAGTCAGTATGACAACCTGAAGGCCGGCTTTTCGGAGAAGTAGATTGAGGCGTGTTGGTAAACCCATTGAGAGATATCCGTCACTCTATCTAGAGGAACATGTTACGATTTTATTTTTATTTTTATTTTTTTTTTTTTTGGTTATTCCCCCAACTGTTTTGCATGTATTAACATTTTTTTTTTTTTTTTTTTTTTTTTTTTTGGGTCTTCCAAAAATTTTGTGAGGTTTTCTTTTTATAAGGGGTTGTGATGAGGAAGGATGGTGTAAATCGCTTTACTGCCGAAAATGTTCTTCCAATTTGAGACCACGCATTCGACGCTCCTTACAAGTTGGATTTTGTTTTGTTTTTCTTCCCTTTTTTTTTTTTTAGATGAATGCAGGGTCGCACAGAACTGTGTTTTGACGTTGGCGAAGCCAGCACGAGCAATTGGAAATTATAAACCTGATAGTTACTGCATATCATATTTCGACATCCATGAGGCTCCAGCAACTGCATCCAACCGTGTTCCTGGAGATGTCAAGCCCACGTGGAAATGGAGAACCGACATGGGAGGGAGCTAAATTGTCAGTCAACGAAATGAGTATCACCAAGCGTTAAGCCAGATTGATTTTTATATGAACTTGCACAACCGTCGCAAATTTTTTTTTTTTTTTTGTTTTTTTTTTTTGTTTTTTTCCGGGGAGGGGTCTCGATTCCTTGTCTATCCATGCTGAGGATGTGCAGAGATGCAGAGTAGGAAAAGAATATTGGAAGAAGAAAAAAAAATTTGGAGAAGGATAAAGTCTGATCCAAATGAGAGGGAAAGAGCCATTTATTGCCCTTTATACCTCAACCCCATGTTGAATACTACAAGAAACAACTTCTTAATCCGTATAAAGATGTATCTATATATATATATATATATATATAGAATGATATTATAGAAGCTATCAGTTATTATTCATTGTATCGAATATCTCAAGATATCAAAGTCTTAATAGAATAGTCAAATACTTAGACTCTTTTGCTTTTTATAATATAGGCTATATAATCGGTAGATTGTCATTTCTATTAAATCTTTTAATCAGTATCTAATTCGTGAATCAATACAATATGCGTTGGAAGATCCAAGTAAGTTTTTTCCTGGAACGCAAACCCAGGTAACCCTGACACCATAAACTTTAACATCCTCTACTTCAGTCATAGCCCTGGATACGGGGCTGGAAACAGAGCATGCCATCGGATAGGCTTGACCCTTGTGCGAGGTACGTAGTATGTATTTGATCGCTCAATACTATTCCCCGCCCTCTTCATCTGTCCAGATATCTCCAGTGGTAATGGTAATGGTAATGGGTTTCCAATTGATAATCATCTTAGAGTAAAAGTAATCCTCCGCGAGGATTTTCTGGTTCCAGCACACGCGGACAGCGCCGTGGAGCCCCTCGCGGCACACACCCCGCTTCGTGGCTCCACCCGAGGCCGTGGCAGACTTTGGGTAGTTAACTTATATATGAGGCGGATCAAGCTTCTACTGAAGGCTCCCCGATTAAGCCAAAATCAACTTAAATAACACAGGCACAAAATCCAGACCGAGCGTGGAAAATACCAGAATGGATCTTCTCAGTAAAAAGGAAACCACGAGAAAATATATCTAAGAACAACGAACCGCCCCAACAGACTGGCGAAATAGACCTCCGCCTCCAATTCCCGAACAGACTTATGTCATGTCAAATTGGACAAAAGTCACCTCAGCTCAGTCTCTGACAATCTTTCCATCGTTTTTACCACCGGGCTCCTGCACAGCGATCACAGCGATACGTCTGCTAAGTCTCGCAAGATAATTTAAAACCTGAGAGATGCCATGTCAATCTTTCCAGACTTCTTTATTAAAAGCCTTGAAGGCAATCCTTGAAGAGGGTCATTTTTTCAGATGCCAATGTGCCTGTGATGTTGGCCATTCCTTCATTCAATCCATTGCATCTGCAGTTTCACATATTTCGAGCCCTTCTATTGAACCATCATACCCACCTTTCAAAATTTACACTCCAACAGGTGATACAAAAACTGGACATTGATTTCCATGCAAAAGAAGAAGGGATATGTGTGGGTTTTGACGGAGGATCAGTTGAAGCAGAGTGCTCAGAAGTCTCTCTATCTAACTGAGCTAGTAAGTAAAAACTTTGATCAGCAGAGAGATCTCAAAGCTTTGTATTGACTAAATATATTTTCTAGCAACTGTCATAAAGAAGATCAATGACTTCCCTGCAATGTTAAAGTTTCAATGTGAGACATTCAATCACACCTTGTTTGATATACAGAGCAGATTGGATCCTTGGCTATCTGATGGATACTACTAGAGTGAAACAATTGCTGATAGTACTTGAAGCCAAAGCTTTCCTTTCCTTCAATCTGATAATAGAGCTCAGATAGTTATTGGTTTATTTTATTCAGCATCCAAGACACTTGGGTGAAAGCCATCAAAACTAGCACAGCTGGCTTTGGTGTCCTTATTGATTTCACATTCTTTCAATTTTTGTTCCTTTGTGAGACAGGAAAGGCGATGCAATCCGAACACATTGTTATGGGGGTGATTGCATTTCTCGACAGCATACTGCTTAATGCAATTAAGTCCTCACCCCATACCACGCCACAGAAGATTGTGAACTCAACTATAAAATGTTTCGATGCTCATCTAAAGCCGACATATAATATCCGTGGTGAGGAAAGCGCTGCTGGTGGAGGTGAAGGGGAAGAAGAAGAAGAAGAAGATGATGATGATGATGATGATGATGCAACATTTGATGTTATTGATAGAGTTAGCCGACCGGCGGCTTAGTTTTGGCAGAACTCTGCTACGTGACGCCCCCAGGATGAGAAGATAAGGAGGGAAGGAGTAACAGATATAACAGATGGATGCCGGCGGGCGTGCGGGCTCTTTGGACCCTCAGTTTTGAACGAATTGGTGGAAGACCAGTGCTTAGAAGCCGCTGGCTGGTAGACCGTCCTGTCCTCTATGTCCTTGATATACCCCACGGCATTGCTGTGCGCAAGGATGGTGCTAGTATAGGATGTACAGTACAAAAGGCCTTTTTTGACGCATATTCAAGAGGACGATCCTGATTTATTGCGGTATTACCACGGCGGAGGCAAGCCCTCTCGTTTCTCGTCCTCGCCCTCATCGATCAGCTCGTCTTCGTCAGCTCGTGAACAGGATGAGACTGGAGCTTTCTACATGTTTGTGACATGGACAGGAGACCCAGGAAGTCTTGTGTCTTGTCTATGCGTTGATTAATGACAAGGTAGCGCTCCACAGCGTACGTTGCGGGGGCTAATGGTGAAATGAGCCGCGCCTTCCTTTCTATATTCATGGCTTACAGAAATCGAGATTACCCTCGATTGCGATGCGTATTTTTGCGGATCCAAACTCGATGCTGGCCATGTATTATTGCAACTGCCTCAGCCTCTCTCTTCAATCCCAGCCAATCAGACAAGCTACTACTGTGGTAACGGTTACATCTGAAATTTGAGAAGTCAGCAGAATGGAAAACCGTAACTACGCTGCGTATCTTAGCAACGTCCCCCTTTTGTTCACCATCTCCGAGCCGGTCAACAGACCGACGACACCTGTATTTCACCCATTAATGTGAATTACCATTTGCTGACAAGAAAATGGAGACCAAAATCTTCTTACCCTTGAAATTACCATGAGTTTTCAAGCTGGATGGCTACGAAATCTCTATCCTTGTGGCGAGTGGGATGACCTTGAGTGGCCCTTGACTATTTATTATTGGATGGATGCATCCCGCTTAAACATGTGTTGTTCCCGGACTTAATTTTTTTTATTTTTTTTTTTATTTTTTTTTTCGGCCTGCATCCAGTATGTGCTTGGGCAGGGCAGGGCAGTGCAGGGCAGCTCTTTGGGCTGCATTTTATGTATATTTATGCGTATATAGATTAAGTTCCGGTTCAGGGAGGGAGAGAGGATAATGGCGATGGATCGGAGCGGGTTTCTTTGATCTAGTGGGTTATGTAGATAGCTAAATATATGTAATAAATACGCACACACACACACACACATATATATATGTATATATATATATAAGACAAAAGAAATGAGACTCAGAGTTGCAAAGCTATAGTCTGGAGAGATAATAAAAATAGTAGGAGAACATGTGGAGCGATGAAGGCCAGGGGGCGCTGAAGTCTAGAGTTTGGAAGCGGTGAAGCGAGGAAAGAAGATATGAGGAAAAAGACACGCAGCAACCACAACTTTTGTTTACCACCCCTTTTCCCCCCCCCCCCCCCCCCCCTCCTCCCTCCTCCTCCTCCTATCTACCCCGTTTATTCCTTTTCTTTTCTTAAGAAAAAGTTATAAAAGGGTGTTGGATGCCGGTAAAAGCAAGATACATACATCCAACCCACCAAGACCCAAAATCCAAAATCCCCATGCGATGGATAAACCCTGCCCCGACAAATAATGGACGAAGAGGGAATTCGATCAATCAATTGCACGCAGTCTCACTGCTGTGTCGCTTTACCGTCCAGGTCCAGTCCCGTACCATGGGAACTAACTCAAATCCCGAAGTAGGTAAGGAAGAAATGGAAGATGAACAAGAAAATAAGAAACAAGAACCAAGAAATCAGGAACCAGGCCAGAGCCCACCTCTCAAAAATAGAAGACAGACACTGCGGCCACAAGGTACGAGAACAAACCCAAGCCTGTCCAGAAAGGAGAGTTATTTTAAAAAAAGAAAAGAAAAAAAAAGAAGGGGATATACAAAGGAACCGAAAAATATAAACGAAGAGTCCTCAATCCCGATTCATCTTGTCCGGCAACGGCGTCTTCGGAGAAACCGATCTACCCTTCCAACTCAAACTCCGCTGCAGAATCCCTGGCGACTGTGCGCGGGCTGCCGATGTCAACGACGACGAGGACAACGATGAGCCATTAACACTGAGGGTACTGTCATCGACAGCGCTGCCACCTGGGGGGCATATTGCTTCGAAGAGGAGAGCGGAGTGCGGGCGGAGACCCCGCGCCAGATGCTTCTGCTGCGGTGACTACCAGGGACGAAGATGCACCTGTTGTTCCACCGACCCTGGCGCGGATGGAGTGGCGCCCACGATCTTCGCTGGGGTCGCTGGGGCCGCTGGGGCCCAGGTGGGTATTTACGTCTGTTGGGATGTTGGTGTCTACGGGGATATATTTCCCATCCTTGTTGGTTGGTGACGTGTGGCGAGAGAGGCCGAGGCGAGTTGATAGATTAGTGTTACCGATGTTATTATTTTTATGATGATGAATAGTAGTAGTGGAAGTAGTAGTGTTGCTATTGGTGTCATTACTGACGAACGGATTGCTTCTGGCGGAGGGTATTATTGACTCCTCCTCGTCTGAGTCGACGTCAGTGGGATTGACGCTCTCGGCAACATCGAGACGGGCCTCGCGGCGCATTTTCGTGATTTTCATATAGTTGTAAGAGGCAATAGCGCCTATAGTGATGATGAGGCCAGAAACGTTGATTGGGGTCAATGGATCGTGGAAGACGATGCCGGCGGCGCTGATGGTGATGACTTCCTTGAAGATGCCGCAGATGCTTAGGGTGACAACGGAGGAGCGCTTGAGGAGCGCGAATTCCGAGGCGATCATGCAAAAAGCTAGGCAACCGGGGAAGACGAGGATGCCGACACCACGCAAAAGTCCATGGGCTGTCAGGTTATAAATACCCTTGATGATAGCCAGGGGTCCTTCGACGGCAAAAGCGAGGGCTGTGAGGCACACGAACATTATCGGGGTGAGGAAGAAGAGCATGGAGAAAGGGTTTGCGGTTGCAGGATGTCGGAGGAGGAGGATCTGGGTCAGGCCCCATCTGAATCCCGAGAAAAATGCAGATGCAATGATGAGGCTGAAGCCGAGTGCGTTGAAGGCTGCCTCTCCTGCAACCATCATTACAACCCCTATGGTCATGGTGCCGATGATGAGGATGAGCTTTAGAGAGGGGTTCTCCAGACGAAAGAGAAACGCAAAGAGGAGGACGAATGCAAGGGAGGACGACTTGCACATGGTTAGGAATGTGAGGGTGATGAATCGGAGAGACATGTTCCCCAATCCAACATCCAGAGATGTGGAAGCGCCACAAGGAACCAGTCTTGATAAGTAGAATTGCTTCGACATCAGGGGCTTCGGCTGCTGGCCGGCGATGGAAGGGGGAAGATATGGATGCGTCATGCGGTCGTAACGAAGGGACAAAGTAGAGCACAGTGGAGGATAGGATAAACTGTACAACCATATGGAGGCCTGTGGTGAAGAGGGGAAATTGAAAATTAAGGTGGTTGGATGAGAACATCCATTTGTTGTACTGCAGGCGGGGGTCATGATAGAGTCAGCTCAAGAAGAGAAGAAAACAATTGCGTACATGGAAAATATCAGCGTTGGGGGGTCGTCCATACAATTGATATCGACAACGAAAATATATACCATGATCCAATCAATATAGCATTCACGCCTAGTCTTTTGACGACTGCTCTATCCGCCAGCCGGCGGCCATGCTCGGAGACTTTAACCTCAACGATTCTAGCATCTAGTTCCCGGCGATGTCGTCTGCGCTGCTTCCATCTCTGTCGACGTTCCTTAGCGGTCAACCCAGTTTCTTCGTCATCATTGAGATGGTCATCAGATGCGAGGAAATCCATTTCCAGCACCTCAGTTTCAGCAAAAGATGAGTGGCGGGATCGATCTAATTTGGGGCCAGTCCCCGTCAGGAGACAGTCCTGTTCCTCCTCCTATTCCTCGTCTTGTGGATGCCTATGCTCTCCTTCAACGCGCTGCTCCTCTCCGTCTCTACTCCTATTCTTCTTGTTTGGAGTGAGGGATTCGTCTTCGTGAGTGCTAAGGGAACAAAGATCGTGAGAAGTAGGTGGGAAAATTGCTGTACCGCTGTAGATCGATATCGAGGAGGTCCTGCGTCTCAACTTGGAGTCCGGGGAGCCCCTCGCCCATTTGATGCAACGGGTGGAAGGGCGGTTTCGAAATGGCGGGGAGAGGGTTATGCTCAGCTTCAGTCTATTGAGGGAGCGTGTGCATCTGAGCTGGGCTCAAGAGGTCCAGAGGTCAGAGGTTCAGAGGTTTCAAAAGTTCAGTTATCAACACTCCTTCTCCGTCAATCC